TAATTGGTAGATAGAAATTGGGAGACTAGTTGTATATCAGAGGGTAATATCAATAGATTCTTAAGGAAGTAGGATGTGAGATTCTGAACTGAATTCAACTGTCTCAAATAGGGTACAATGGTGGGCTTTTGTAAACATGGTAGTGAACATTCAGGTTCTGTAAAAGCAGGGAATTAATTTATTAATAAGCTGAGAAACAGTTTCTTAAGAAGGTTTTTGGAGTTTGGATGTAATATGTTTATGTGAGTGACTTGCCTTTGTTTGCTACCATTGGTAATTGTTTAAGTTTCACAAAAATGTCCAAGTGTTATTATCAATGTTTATGTAACATTATGAATTGGGGGTGATGGTAAAAAAAATCCTTATTAACAGATTGGTCTCTGACCTGTACAACATATTTTATTGATAATTCACATACTACCCACAGTACTTTTTTGAAAGATTGTTTTTCAAGATATAGAAACTAGTATATGTATTAATCTTAGTGTGTAATTAATTTTTCATTACCCCACAGTACGGAAAGACTTAACACTGCGGCTCCAATTCCGATTCTTTAACGACCTTCGCAGGAAAGCTTTGATCAAGTAAAGTATAAGGTATCCACAGGAGTCGTATTTTTTATATATATACTTTTGTCTCTAACAAGAGTATCACTCTCGTTGCGCGATTAAACACATTGGAGAATAAACAAATATATAGGCATGTTTCTTTATTGTAATAAAACAAAACTGCTTTATTTTCTCTTAACATTAACCGACACCAAACTTAATGCTTATCGTAACATATTTACAATATGCATCGGCACTGTTCTTTAGTTAGCATACTCATTTTGGTATCGGATAGTCTGACTGCATAATTTTGTATTAATATTATTCTTTTGTTTTGCTAAAGTGAGATAACAGAATTAAACCTGTCACTAATGTTTCATAACATGTATATATTTTCCAGTGATTTGTAGCAGGTGATTAAAGAGGAACAGATGACACAGAACATGTACATATATTTTGTAACATTTCTTACTGAGAATTAATTACTGAATGGTTTTTTTCTAACAGTTGTATTCATTACTTCAGAATGGTTCCAGGCATGTGTGGACAGACTAATGTGCAAATTGCCCCAGCTGAAACCATTTTTTTTTAAATCCTTCCAGTAAGCTCTTTCCTGCATTGAATGGTATATTTTCAGACCAATGTGATGCAATAGAATTTTTACATTGTTGCAAGTTTAATTTGTGGAACATGTAGCATATTTGAGGAGATGAAGAATGCATACAAAATTTTAATTGGTAGATAGAAATTGGGAGACTAGTTGTATATCAGAGGGTAATATCAATAGATTCTTAAGGAAGTAGGATGTGAGATTCTGAACTGAATTCAACTGTCTCAAATAGGGTACAATGGTGGGCTTTTGTAAACATGGTAGTGAACATTCAGGTTCTGTAAAAGCAGGGAATTAATTTATTAATAAGCTGAGAAACAGTTTCTTAAGAAGGTTTTTGGAGTTTGGATGTAATATGTTTATGTGAGTGACTTGCCTTTGTTTGCTACCATTGGTAATTGTTTAAGTTTCACAAAAATGTCCAAGTGTTATTATCAATGTTTATGTAACATTATGAATTGGGGGTGATGGTAAAAAAAATCCTTATTAACAGATTCTATGTTGAAGATTTCTGTCTTCTGGGTTGTTGTGCTGTGTAGTCTGGTGGATGTTTACCAACGCTTCAGAGGTCATACTGCCTCCATCATCAGGGCGATGACGGAGGCAGTATGACCTCTGAAACGTTGGTTAACATCGACCAGACTACACGGCGCAACAACCCAGAAGACAGAAATCTTCATACTCATCACTGTGAAAACCTCAAGTCTTACAGATTCTATGTTAATTACCATCTGTGCTGGTCGTACAGAAACATCTAAGAAAATAAGAAATAGTAGTTTTCTACAGACCACTTTTATAACTACCTGTCTGTAAAAAATCAGGACTCATCATGAATTGATTTGTGGAAATTAAAGTCAAATTGAAAGTTTAAAAGATGACAATTCATATAGCCATTAAGTACTGAGGTTTTTTTCCTGACATGGAGGTGTCACTCCATCCAGATTGGCTTTGGTGCCCACTCCACCTTTTATTCAATGGGTATCGAGGGTTCTTTGCCCAGGGGCGTATAAACTGGATTTCAAAGCTGGTTGCTTCCTTCCATCTCGTGCAGAGCTGAAGAATGCATGGAGCTGTGCGTGTACTTCCACTTTCATTTTCATTTTGTATGAGGTTAATTATTGCATTTTTAACAGTTTTCTGAAGACTGTGGGAAATAAAAAAAACGATTTTGATAACTGTTTGAAATTTGGTTTTTATAGTTGATAAATTTGAATCCAATATGCAATGCATCCACCTCCAGTCTCAGAATAATTACAGTATCTTTGGAGAATTTTAGAAATACTGGATTGAGGGTATAATTGTATGGTTTGGGGTTTTCACAGTGGTGAAAATTTGGATTGAGTCTTCTGGATTATGTAGGTGATTACCTGTGTTTCAAAGGAGCATTATACATCCCTCTTCAAAGTAGATGTGAGTATGGAGTATAGCTGTCAAAGAGTTGTGGT